GTACTTATTCAATCTATATGCTGAGCACACAATCCAAGAAGCTGGATTATATGAATAAAAACATAGCATCAGTATAGGAGGAAGACTCATTAACAACATGTTATGTGCAGATGATACAACTTTAGTGAAAACATACAGGACTTAAATTACTAATGAATATTGAAGATGAAAAACCATACCTTTGGTTTGGATTACTTCAATGTAAAGAAAACAAAAATCCTCACCACTGGCCCAATAAATAACATTCTTATAAATGGAGAAAAGATTGAAGTTGTCAAGGACTTCATTTTGCTTGGATCAACCATCAGTACTCATAGAAGCAGCAGTCAAGAAATAAGATGATGTACTGCATTAGACAAATCTGCTGCACAATATCTCTTTAAAGTGCTCAAGTGCAAAAATGTCAGTATGAGGACTAAGTTATGCCTGACCCATGCTATTTTTAATAACCTCATATGCACATAAAAGTTAGACAGTTAATAAGGAAGACCATAGAGGATTTGATGCATTTGAGTTATGGTGTTGGAGGAGAATATTAAAAGTACCAGGGACTGCCAAAAGAATAAACCAATCTGTGTTGGAGGAAGTACAACCAGCATCCTCCCTGGAAGCCAGGATGGCCAAACTTCAGCTGTCATACTTCAGACATATTGTCAGGAGGGACCAGTCCTTGAGTAGGAGATAATGCTTGGTAAATTGGCTAGTCAGAGAAAAAGAGGAAGATTCCCAGTGAGATGGATTGGCACAGTAGCACAGTGACGGGCTCAAATATGGCAATGATTTTGAGGTTGGTACTGAATTGAGCAGTGTTTTGTTCTTTTGTGCTTAGCGTCACTATGAGTCTATACTGACTCAATGGCACCTACCAACAACAAGTTCACGAATATTCCCTTGCATGCAGAGTCACGAACTTAATTAGACATGAAAAAACCAACATCTTAATTCTCCTGTAATCCAGATTTCTGAAATTATGGGATTGGGTTGATTTATCCATGCCTTTGCATTTAAGTGTCATTTTAATCTTAAACCTTTAAGGAACTAGTTTTTCTTCAGTCACCTTCAAGTCAAATAATTGTCTAGTAAACAGTTTAGCAGATTCTTTGGTGCTGCAGTAGGATGATCCTGTATTGTCAATTGAAGAGTTCAACTGTTCAAACCCACCAGGATGGTGGTGCAGGATGAAGGTGAGGCTTTCCACTTTGGTAAGGACTTACCGACCCAGAAACCCTACACAGGAGCTTTATGAGTCATAACTAACCTGATGGCAGTGAGTTAGGGTGTTTTTTTTTTGTTTGTTTGTTTTACTAAATTTAGCAGAGTCAAACAAACAAATGTCTGTTTTACCTCAGACATTGTGATTTTATAAAGAATAATTTATGTGTTGGCCATTTTGAATAGCAGGAATCACAGAGTCTAACTGCAAAATATATGGCATTTTCTTAGTACCTCTGTTCCAGCAACAGAAGGAACTTGGAAACCTTATGATCTAATGCTATCTCCATGGAAAGAAATCTGACAATTACTTATGTATTCTTTTTTTACTATCCCCTTTTGGGACTGCGTTCCCTATACTTTTGAGTTGATACTGCCTGATTTGAATTGTATCTACTCACAAGAAATATATTCTGTTACACTAATTTCTAGGGTTCTTTGAGTAATAGGTTTTCTGACAGACTGAAGTCAGATGGAAATGAAAGGAAATAATTGAGTAATGTGAGCATAAACAAATCTAAAGGAAAATTTTCAGAAAATTTAAAGGAAGAAATACTCTATCTTCTGGTATAAGATCAGCATAACCTTGATAACTTAAAGCATCCTATTTAGCACAAGAAAGGAGACCTCATGGAACTTACACTCCTTCAAAATTACTAACATAATTGCAAAAACTCCAATCTGGCAAAGAGTGAAAAATGGTAATGCATCAAGCCAAACTTAGTCTTACTCTAGGAAACTTGTATTATTCCTCCAAATAACTACAGGTTCATGTTCACACTTCCTGCAAGTAAACTGCTCAGTGACATTTCTTACGTCCTCTTTTCTAATATTGCAACAATTTCAAATTTTTGTATTCTCTTCATTTATTCTCCATTGCACTTATCACAATCCACCCTTTTCTTATAGCATCAGATTGCGCTTCCTTGGGAAACAGATATTAGCATGCTCCTAGGATAAGCACCTGAGAAAGAAAGGGAACAGGATTGGGGAGAGGGGAAATCTGAAAATAAAAGAGTGAATTCTTTTGTGTTAATCCAAAAAGGCACTTAAGGATATGTAAAACAAGCCACCCAACTAATAAAGAAATGTGTAACGCACATAAATGACAAAGTGTTGACATCTTCATTAAATGAAGAATGTTTATGAATTAAGAAGAGATAAACCACTCAATAAAAATACCATTAGCAGATAATTCTCAAAAGATAGGAAATAAAAGAGAGAATCAACAAAAGGTACATAATATGAAAGAATCAATCTCATAATAGTAAAAATTTTAATAAATTACATATATATAATTTTTTTTGTGGTGAGCACATGCAAAATGAAACATATGCCAATTCTTAAATAATATGTTATACTTAAAACATTACTAGACTAAATAGGAAATGTGCTGGTGATTACTTGGATACAAGAGACACTCAATGAGAATATAATTTCTTCCATTTCTTCAACTGCTTAAAAAACTTAAAAGTACTCAAAGGACAATAGGTGTTTCCTATGCCCAATAACCTACAATTCCCTTTTTCTCATAATAAAAATATTTCTCATTTCAACCATGAAGCATGTGTAAGAATATTGAAATAACTTATTTGTAATGTCAGAAAGTAGCTAGCAAAAATTCTGTGAACGTAAGAAAAACACCAAGCAACTTTCTTAATATTACTATGAATGATATAAAAGTATACAGCATTGAAAGTAAATGAGGTCATGCTATATCCAACAAATGGTTTGAATCTCCAAAACATGATGATATGGTATTTTAAACACACACACACACAACCCAAACATTAAATTGAGACTAAACTTCAGTGGCAATGCAATTAAACAAGAGAAACAGAATAAACCTCCTCAAAAAATGGTACTGAGATCAAGCTACATGCAAAAGAATAAAAGTGGACCATTACCTCATACCATATAGAAAAATTAATTCAAAATGGATCAAACACCAAAACTATAAGAACTAAAACTATAAACCTTTTAGAAGGAAACAGAGAAGCCAATCTTCATGGTCTTGTATTTTTGTAAATGATTTGTTATTTATGCCACAAAAGCACAGGAAAAAATATTCAACATTATATCAGGTAATAGTCACAGGTGTCAGGGATTGGAATATTTTTGTAGGGTACCATTTAACCCAATATAGAAGTTTTGCCTTCTGTAGATTCATTGGAAAGATCTATTAAGAATATACTGAGGAAAGAACAGTAAGTGTGGTCATCATGTGTGGACATGACACATGCATCCGCTGCAACAATTAGGAGACCATGAGAGAAACTTGTCTCTAATGAAATCATACCACAGAGGATTAAATAAAGCCTACACTACTGTTTCTATACATCCCTTACCTCTGAAGGCCTTTCATTGTAATGAGCTATAACTCTATTGCTTAAGAATATTAGAGCCAGTTCTTTTTCTTCTTAAAACCAAAGCTTCCTCACTGATGAAATTCAAATATCTCACAATCATCTCAAACCACAGAGATCATTTTGTAGATGCTGAAACTGATTATGGTGGATGCTAATATTGCCATGTAGACAGGTTATCAGTGACAGATCTCAGTCATACTGAATCCGGTCATGAAAGTTCAGCCCTCTTGTCTCACAGTGAGGAAAGTATAAGGTGCAATTCACAACTCTACCCATTGGATCAGGCTGAAATGACTTTCTGGCTATACCTGCAACTTTGCTTAGATCCTCCCTTGTCTTTTACATTCTCTCTCACTAGCATTTATCTGAAAAAGCTATTGATCACACCACTATAACAAGAAACTCTTCTGTAAGCTCTGCCTCTATGAAACCTGTCCAACGAAACTGAGATTAAGGAGTTGAGATCATTTTTCAAACAGCACAGTTGTAGAAAAAAAGCAGAATCAAGGTTCAACCCCAAGTTAAAATGTAGTCAGTGTAGTGAGTTCACTGGAATTAAGGGATGATAGAGATTAAAAAAACAAACAAAAAAACAAAATCAAAACAAAAAATAAACTCCCCAAACTATATATACACATACATACCTACAAGAGAGCAGTTATTTAGGTAGCTATTCATTGGGGATGATACATAGACATCTGATTTCACACAGCAATGTGTTGTCCAGAAGTGGAGGAGGGCATGAAAGCTCCCAAGGAAGAACAGAAGGAAGGAGGGAGCATATGTGTCCCTATACAGAAATGTCCTTCTACAGAAAATTGGGTAGTATCTGAGTCAAAGGAATGCCAAAAACAGCCTTAGCACATTGGTGGGTTTGGGGCTGTGCCATGGAGTCAGTTCCAACTCATAATGACCCTGTATAGAGCTTCTGAGGCTGTAAATCTTTGCAGGAGCAGAAAGTCTCATCTTTTGTAGAGCAACTGAACTATTGACTTTGTGGTTAGCAGCCCAGCTCATAATCCACTATGCTACCAGAGCTCCTTAGCAGCACATTAGGACCCTTATAACTACAGGATTTTAATCTTATCTATGGATAAGAGTTGTTGAGTGCAGTTTTGTGAGTTAAGTAAAGGAGCAAGACCCTAAGTTGGGAAAATGGTGTTTATTTGAGTTATATTAAAAAAAATTGAGTGTTTCAGAATTTGAGCTTGACAATGGCACATGTTTTGAGCTTACTATGAAAATATAAACAAGTGAGGACCAATATACAAAGGTTTTTTTAATTCATTATATTTAGTCATGAAATCATCTAATCGTTAAAAAAAATGCTGATAGAAGACTTAATAATTGTGACTCACCAGTATTCCTTTCACTTTTACTTATTCTAGAAACACAAGTTCAAAACAGATAACACAATCCCTAAAAAGAAGGTATCCTACCAATGATTTTTCTCAAGGATACTTTCATGTCCCTGTTCCTCAGGCTGTAGATAAAAGGATTCATCATTTGAGGAACCACACTGTACATCACCGAGGCTACTGCTATCTTACTGGATGAGTGTGAAAATGAAGAACTAATGTAGACACCAAATCCTGTTCCATAGAATAAGAAAACAACTGAGAGGTGAGACCCACAGGTAGAAAAAGCTTTATATTTTCCAGCTGATGGCATTTTCAGAATGGAGGAGACAATTTTAACATAAGAGAAAATGATCCCAAAGAGAGGAATAGCAGAAAATAAGCCATTTATAAAATATAGTAAGATGTTATTGATGAGAGTATTAGAACAGGCAAGCTTGAGGACCTGAGTAAGTTCACAGAAAAAGTGGGGGATTTCCAGGTTTTTACAGAAGGACAATTTCAACAACATTAGACTATGGAGCAGGGCCTCCATGATGCTAGAGAACAAGGAGAGTATAATCAGCAGGCCACAGAGTCGAGGGTTTATGATGACTGTGTATCTCAGTGGGAAACAGATGGCCACATAGCGGTCATAGGCCATTATTGCAAGAAGGAAATTTTCAAAACCTGCAAAAACTAATAGTGTGCATACCTGTGTGAGGCAACCTGCGAAAGTGATAGATTTTCCATGTACCTGGATGTTCACCAGCATCTTTGGGATTACAGTTGTACTTAAACCTATGTCTGTAAAGGACAGATTGGCAAGGAAGTAATACATGGGTGTGTGGAGGTGGGAGTCAGAGCTGACAGCCAGGATGATGAGCAGGTTTCCCAGGATGATGACCAGATACATAAACAGGAACATGTTGTAGATGAGGGGTTGCATTTCTGGATCTGTTGTCAGTCCCAAGAGAAAGAATTTTGAAACATCTGTTTGGTTTCTGAGTTCCATATTGTTGGTGAAACTGATAGAAAAGATGGGTGACAAAACAATCAAATGTCCATTTGCATTGCCAGAGGCAAACACTATTAAGGAATGGAATATGCAAAGATGATGTCATCTATATGCTTATTTTTAGTATTTTTAAATGTTGATTCCCATAGAGCAGTAAGTAAACATTATACTGGAGTCTTGCTGTAGTGTTGTAGGATCATCACTAGACTGATAGCCACATCACTGGCATTTCAACCCACCAATGCTCCTCAGAAACCCAATACAGGGTATCTATGAATGTGATCTGAATCGACGGGTCTTAACTACTGTATTAACATATATAACTCTGAAACATCAGATAGTTACTTTTTTAAAAATACAACCTGTATTCTTGTGATCATTTCAATATTTGGCAATTTTATAAAGAGAAAACAAATTGACTGTGGAAAAAGTGTGATATGTCTACCTCAGACTCCAAGTCTTTCCATTATCAGATCAGGAAAGCAGAGATAAAAAGATGTGTGTTAAGAACCATGAATAAGAAGCTATGGTAAAACTGAAGAATCCTACATCTTCTCCACTGTAAGAATGCAAATAAATATTAGAGATTTCTATTATGGTCATTATTATGTTTAAGAAGGGATAGATGTCTGCTCAGGAGGAAAATAGTCCCTGTCATTTTAAAGACAGAGTAGAAGACTGGTAGAATGAGAGTGCCGTGAATGTGTGAATGTGGTATGATGGTACAAGGAAGCATGTCAGTTGGATGGAAGACAGTTTGACAAGAGTCCATGGAATATTAGTTCTAATCATTTTATAGCTGTACCCTAGATGTTCATCCTGTTTACAGAAAGACCCTGAATAGTATGGATTGGCACCATATGGACTCACACATAGCAATGATTGTAAGGACTGCAGATGATCAGACAACATTTCTTTCTGTTGTAAATGGGGTCCCTATGAGTTTTAACCAACTCGATGGCACCTAACAACAACAATAAAAACAGTTATAGTTATTCTTGTCATCACTTCCCCAAGATGAACCTGTAGTAAAACACTTGTATTCAGTTCTAAACATTATCTAATAGACAATTGGTTACCTGGCTGGCATTACTGAGGAATGATGCTTGACATCGGTCCTGGATGTTGGATGATATAGTCAGAAGATGTGTCCTCAGGAAAGCTAGAAGGATCAAGTGAGGAACTAGGGTCCTACAGGAGTGGATCATCTGTAGGAGGAGTCTGAGGTGTGTTGTTTCCTGCCTGAACAAAGGCTGCTGAGTGAGGGGGTCACAGGCAGACTATTTGCAGTCTTTGTATCCCTAGGGACTCAATATCCAAAGCTCCTCATTAGTCAAATACTTTTATTGTAATTTTGATCCAAGGACAGTGCAAATCCTTAGTGATCAATACAATAGAAGGTGAAATTCAGGATGTCTTATTTTATGAAGAGACCAGTTACATACCATTCACTTCTCTCCATCTTTTTCTACTCAATTCTATGTCCACACCTAGCACATGAAGATGTATTATTCTTATTTAGTTGCATGGCAGTCTCCTTTATTTAATTACATTGAAAACAATTCTGTCTTAGAACAAAATTAGGAAGTCTGATAGTTATTTTAGGTATGAAAGTATAATATATGTATATGGTGTTATAATTAAGAAATAAAGCCAAAATATTGTAAAATGGAGATGTCCAGCACTGTTTCTTTCTAAGTCCTTGAATGTCACCTGGACATTGCTCACTATTCGTTCTGTATGTTTTATATTCTCTAAGTCATTCTCTTCAATCAATTATTACTGTGCTGTTTTTGTCTAGTGCCATCGAGTTGGTTCTGACCCATAGTGACCCTGCATAGGGTTTCCAAGGAGTGGCTGGTGAACCTGAACCACCAAACTTTGTGGTCTAGTTCAAACCCACAGCATCACACCAGGACTGTAATCACTTTGAATATCTATATTACCTTCTTTTGGGGTTCCATAAACAGGTTTAGAATTTCAGCAAAATAGTTTCAATGTGGTGGTGGACAGGTGGGTCTATTTGTCAGACTATGGTGGCTTGCATTTTACTGTGATACTGGAAACAATGCTAACTGTATCTTAAATGCCAGCATGGTCATCCATGGTAGACAGGTTTGAGAGGGTTTCCAGACTAGGACAGATTATGAAGAAAGTGAGAAAGACAATTTATGAATGCTTACTGAAAAACTTATAATAGCAGCAGAACATTGTCAGATATACTGCAGGAAGATGAAAACATTTAAAATAACATCAGTTATGAGTCATAGAGACCCTGCATAGGGTTTCTGAGGCTGTAAATCTTTACAGGAGCAGAAAGTCTCATCTTTCTCCTGAGGAGTGGCTGGTACACTCAAATTGCTGATCATGTAGCTAGTAGCCAAATGTATAACCCACTATGCTACCAGGGCTCCTTAACACCATGTTTAGGTATATATATATATATTTGGAGTTGTGGTGTGGTGCTATAGGATAAGCACTAGACCACAAGGTTGAATTAAAGAGTTGGCAGTTCAAACTCATTAGCCATTTCTCAGAAACTCTATACAGGGTCATTGTGAATAGGAACCTATTCGACGGCACTTAAGAACAACAAGAAGTATATACTCGACCACTAAGTTGGTTTGAACTACAAGGTTGGTGGTTCAAACTCACCAGCTGCTCCTTGGAAACCCTATATGAGGTCGCTGTGAGTCTCAATAGCACTTAACAACAAATTGAAATCTTTTAACAAACTGAGGCAGCAGCTGGAGGCCCTCACACATCAATGCATAGAAATTTGGAGTTTATTAGAAGAGATTCATATTTGTGCATATTCCAAAGAGAGATGGTGCCAATGAATGCATAAATCATTGACAACATCAATATGACATGCAAATAAAATTTTGCTAAACATGGTTTTAGCAATGCATTGACAGGGAGCTTCCAGACATTCAGACCACATTCAGAGGGGAGCATGGAAAGAGGGACATCATTGCTTCCATAAAATGGATGTTGGTTGAAAGCAGAACTATGTTTTCCTGTGCTTTAACGACTTTGCGAAGACTTTTACAGTGTGGCTCATGAGAAACTATGGACAACACTGAGGATAATGAGTATTCTGGAACTCTTGTGTTCATGAGGAACCTATACATAGACCAAGAGGTAGTCGTTTAGATAGAACAAATGGACAATGAATGTTTTAAATCACAAATGTGTGTGTCTGGTTTATATTATTTTACCACACTTATTTCATCTGTATGCTGAGAAAATAACTCAACAAGCTAGATTGTATAAAGAAAAACATGGCATCAGAATTGGAGGAGGACTCATCAAAAACCTTCAATATGCACATGATGCAACTTTGCCCCCTGAAAGTGAAGAGGACTTAAAATATTTACTGATGAAGATCAAAGATCACAGCCTTAGGTATGGGTTACACCTCAATGTCAAGAAAACAAAAATACTCAACCACTGAACTAAAAACATAACATCAAAATAAATGGAGAGAAGATTGAAGTTGTTGAAGACTTCATTGTGCTTAGATCAACCATCAACGCTCAGGGAAGCAGCAGTCAAGAAATCAAATGATGTATTGCATTGGGCAAATCTGCTATACAAGATCTCTTGTAAGTGTTCAAGATCAAAGCTTTCAGTTTGAGGACTATGGTGTGCCTGACCCAAAGCATGGTATTTTCAATAGCCTCATATGCATGTGAAAGTTGGACAATGAATCAAGAAGACCATAGAAGGATTGATGCATTTGAGTTATTGATGCATATGATATTGGAGGGGAATATTAAAAGTACCATGGACTGCCAGAAAAACAAATCAATCTGTGTTAGAAGAACTACAGTCAAGAGGCTCCTCAGAAACCAGGATGGCCAGACCTTGTCTCTCATACTTCAGACATGTTATTAAGAGTCCTTGGAGTAGGATATCATGCTTGACAAGATGGAGAGTCAGTGAATAAAGGAAGAACCAAAGAGATAGATTGATACAGTGGCAGCAGCAATGGGCTCAAGCGTAGCAAGGATTGTGAGATCGTTGTTGGATCAGGCAGTGTTTCATTCTGTTGTGCATTGGTTTACTATGAGTTGGCACCTAACAACAACAAGTGAAAGTAGGGGGCTGTCAGCTCCTTCCTAACATATGCATCACTAAAGCATGAGAACTAGAAGTTTTGGTTTGCATAGTGGCAAGAGTGAGAAGGAATAGTAGACTGATATGGTTTAAAGTGTTCAGTTTGTACCCTTACTCTCTACTCCAACACCCCTAAATGGTCCCTACAATCTTACCACCAGTCTTCCCCACAATCCTTCAGGCTTTGACACTGGATAATTGTAGCCAAAGTACACAGAAACAATATATATTACAAGAGTGGAGTCCTGGTGTGGTATTGTGGGCTAAAGCACTGGAACACAATGTTGGTTTGAACCACAAGTTTGATGGTTCAAACTCACCAGCTTCTCCTTGGAAACCCTATAGAGTATCACAATGAGAAGGAAATGTCTTGACAGCACTTAAAAACAACAACTATTTCTAAACACACTATTCCCATATTTGATAGAAGTATACATTGCCATGTTGAGGATAAAGAGCCTATCCAATTAGAAAAGTGTCAGTAGATAACTGCCGGATTGTAGAAATGTGGTTCTACATTTGATGCAGAGCCAAAAGATGTTGTAGTGATAGTCAGGTATGGACACACAGCATTCAATAGGAATGAGGGTGCAGGTGCCTCCCTGTGACTGTGAGAAGGTCCAGAGCCTTGCGGTTTTGTAACACTACCTTACGCATCTGTTCTGTCTCGGCTAACAGCAAGGCGAAAGTCTGGTGGATTTCATTTAATACCACAGCCATATGCTTTTTCAGGGCTTCAATTTGCCATCCCACATCAATATACGAAGTTCCAGGAACCAATACTGCAAGGGGGTAAAACCCCCAGGAGGTGGGTTTTTGCTCATGGTATCGACAATACGCTATGTCCCAGTTACTGGGTTTCATGAGCAGGTGTTTGTAAATGATACTAGGGATAT